GTATGTCAGGACACTCTCAATGGTGCTGTGATAGTAGGACAGAAGTAGATGCTGAGATAGATTTATCTTCCTTAGTATTCTCAAGAAGTACAGCTTCTTCTTTGCCTTCTTCACAAGCATGTTAGCATTCATGGTCCATGAGAGGTCCTCTGAGATATAAATGTCCAGAAATTTTAAACTACCAACCCTCTCCACCTCCTTGCCATTTATGTACAATGGTAAATGTACATCTCTCTTCCTCCTGAAGTCAATTATAAGTTATTTGGCTTTTTGGGTGTTAAGTGTAAGATTATTTTCTTTACACCACAATGTCAGCCCTTGTACTTCCTTCCTATAAGCAGACTCATTGTTCTCTGAAAGAGGTGGGTTAAAAATATGGCAGCAAAAGGCAAGAAGAAAGAACATTACTTAAATACATTTTATAAATATTAGTGAAGAAGATAGGGCAGTTGTGCAGTAAAAGCCTAGAAGTATCTTAAATTTGAAAAAGAGGATTTAAAAAAACCAGAAGGAGGCCCGCTGGACTAGGAGTAGAAAGGCTCAAGTTTTACTTCAATTTCTGTCATGGAAACTCCCTGAGTGAATTTGGGTCACTTGTTTCCTCTCAGCTCAACTTACTCACAGGCATGTAATTGTGATGAAAAAATATGAGGAGAGAACACTCCATGTATTTCCCCTTCAATCCCGAACAAAAAACAAATGATATAAATTTAATAATAAACAGAGACTGGATCAAAACACATTTTGGGAACAGTAGATGGACAATATACAAATAATTAATTTCTATTGGAAATCAACCATTAATACAGTTCTTGCCTTTCAAACTCATGTTTTTTTCAATTATACCTTTAATTTATACAATTTCCCATATTTCTGTCATCAAAAATACCTAAGATGTGATGGTTTATTATGGTTTACAGTTGCAATCTTCTGTGACAACATAGGTTTCAACATTATACACACACACACACACACACACACATACATACATCATGCATATTGTAACCTTCATGCACAAGGTTTTCATGCACTAAGTTATAAACTTAGTAAAACACATTATTTTTGTTGTAATCTAGGCCTTCATGCACAAGGCCTAGATTACAACAAAAATATTGTGTTTTACTAAGTTTATAACTCGAAGTACATCTGCTTCTATTAACCCAGAGTTGAGTGCTATACAAATTTAATACATCATCACCTCAACCTTATCCATGGACTGTAACTGTATCACATGAATATATTCTTCCTGGAACTTCAAATAATCCATGTGATTTGGTACTTTAAGACAGAGGTAGTCCTTGACTTACAACCATTCATTTAGTGATCATTCAAAGTTGCAATGTCACTGAAAAAGTGACTTATGCCCAATTTTCATATTGTTGCAACATCACATGATCAGAATTCAGATTTTTGCAATTAGCATATATTTATGACAGCTGCAGTGTCCCGGGTCAGATGATCACCTTTTGTGACTTTCTGACAAGAAAGGTCAATGTGGAGACCAGATTCACTTAACAACCATGTTACTAACTTAACAATTGCAGTGATTCACTTATCAACGGTGGCAAGAAAGGACATAAAATGTGATAATTTGTCTTGTTTAACAGTGGAAATATTGGGCTCAAGTGTGGTTGTAAGTTGAGGATTACCTGTACATTTTGGCTTTAATATTTTAATGCTTTAATTTATAAGAATTTTCAGAAGCAGTTCTTGCGGTATCTGCATGTTATTTATATGCAAACATTCACGCATAACACAATGTTTCCAAATTATGGTTAGGTTGATGATGGTGTTACTTGTAGGAAGAAGGGCCTGATGGTTTCTTAAACAATTTGGCTGTTCACAAAATGAACTCATTCACTTTGTTTCTTTCAGGGTCTTTTAAAATACCTCATTCCCTTGTCTGTGGTGTATTTTGCCGAATACTTCATCAATCAGGGTCTGGTGAGTGGAATTATTCCTTTATTGGTAGTCGGTGCTGGTCAGGGGTGGGTTCCTGCCACTTCTAACCTCTTTTATAGAAGAGGTTCCACAAATCTACCGTGCCATTTAGAACCGGTTCCAGCTCCCTCCCCCCGCCCGTCCACACCATGCTTGCCCCGCCCGCCGTTGGCTGGCTCACCAATTGCCCCACCTACCTCTAAGAGTCCTATATAAACCTTAAAGTCTTAAAGCTGTCAAGTTTGAACACCCTTGGGGTTTTTTTCCTAAAGGGTTAGGGGTGCAAGGGTCTTGTAACTTGACANTCTCTCTCTCCCTCTCTCTCTCTCTCTCTCTCTCTCTTATTTATATTTCATGTTTCTGGACCACCCATTGTGCCCTCGAAGAGGGGCACTGGGTAACATTTGGTTTTTAAACATTTGTTTTTTAAATGTGACATTAGACACAAAAAGGATCCTTCCCATTGTTTGAGCTGATGAGAATAATAACAATAAATGAACAATCTGATGAAATCTTAAAGTAATGTGTTCTTGCTAGTCACAAGCAAGCTATGGCTTATTTTGGGGATAACAACTGTAACATCAACCTGGCGGGAACTTGTTATGACCCATGACTATCTTCCTGCTTCTCCATCTCCATAGCTATTGCTTCCTGCTGGCTCCCCCTCCTCAAGCCCCTCGCTGTGGCTGGGGGGTCTGCAAGCCAAAATCGCCACGTGCCCCTTCTGTGATTCAACAGCCTCTTCTCGGGGACAGGTTGACACACCCTCAAAGTAAGTGACTTTTTTGTGAATGGCTCCCCTGATCTCAGAAGTGGAAAGCGTGTTCCATTAATGCATGTTTTTCTCTCTGAAAAATGCCCCTGCGGCATCCTTCACTGGGACGCCCTCTGCTTAGGCCAAAGGTAGGAATGATTTTATCGCAAACCTTGTCATCTTTTAAATTAATTATGGGCAAACTGCTTGCATTCCACACCATGAAGCCTCTTTTGAAGGGCCTGCTCGGTGCCCCCAATGTTTGGAGGGGGAGTTGTAGGTTTTTAAGACACAACACATGGGCGTAGGGTGGCGGTGGTATTAAACCTTTGTTGCTCAGGGAGACTATTTATTTCCTTTAAACCCCCATGTTCCAAATCAAATAAAACACAGAGACTCCTCAAGTTGCGACCATAATGGAGCCTGCCCATCACAATTATAACTTGTGATGGTCGTAAAATGACCAACCCAATTTTCTCATCTTTTTGCAATGGTCGTTAAGTGAATCAATTTGGTTATTATGCAAACATGGTCCATAAGCAAATCAATAGTTTGTGATGGGTGCGGGTTTGCTGAAAACTGGAAGTAAATGGTTTTTGAAACAAAAACCATCGTAAAATGCAGTCACATGACTGGGATGATGCAAACAGCTGCAAATGCAACTTGGTTTGTAGGAGCCCAAAATACGGTCACATCATCGAGGGGTCTCGAATATCAGAACTTCAAATCCAGTTCATGTCCCCCTACCCTGAAGTAGATCTATCACAAGTTCAGTTGCTAAGCAGATGATCATAAGTCAATGCTAACTCAGTTAACATCAGGTCACTCTTTGGTTGTGAGCTTCCCCACAGCTTTGTGTGTTTCTCAGAGGAAAACACACTGTCATTATAATTTCAATTACTCTCTCCTTCCTCCAGTGATACAAAAACCTCAGCTCACCTTGCAGGAAAAAGAACAGGTGGCCAAGGTAAGAAGCCTGCTCAGAGAAAGTGGGAAGGACCTTTTGAGCTGTGCAAGTGTAAATAGGTGGTTCCTGTAGGTGGTTAAGTGGGGACCAATGTTAAGTGTGCCTAGGGAACAATTGATACGTGTGGCATTTTTAGGAGGATCTCTTTTGTAAGAATATTGTACAGCTATTTAATCTTTTCGTCATAGATTTCCTTTACTTACTTTACTTTATTGTCATTGTACATATATACACAGTTTACACATACAACAAAATTCACATAACACTCAGGCCCAACACACATAACAATCCCCAAACACCCCCCTTCCACCCAAAAAATATTCCCTGCCCCTAAACCACCCAAACATTCACACAACAGACTAAGTGGTGTTGTCCAATAGCTCACTGATGGTGGCCCTTTAGTTCATTGTTGAGTGCAATTATATCTCTGGGATAAAAGCTATTCAGAAGACGTGTGGCCCTAGTTTTAATTGTTCTGTACCTTCTGCCAGAAGGCAACAGTCTAAAAAGCAGAATGGGAAGAGTCTCTGAAAATGTTATGCAACTTCCTCAAACAGCGATATGCGAAGATGTCATCCAGGGCTGGTAGCTAAAGCCCAGTGTTATTCTGGGCAGTCTTAATGATTCTCTGTAGAGCTTTTTTGTCCGCTGCAGAGCTGCTCCAATACAATGCAAGAATGCCGCATGTCAGGACACTCTCAGTAGTGCTGTGATAGTAGGATAGAAATAGATGCTGAGATAGATTTATCTTCCTTAGCATTCTCAGGAAGTACAGCCTCTTCTATGCCTTCTTCACAAGCATGTTAGCAT